AATTGGAGCTACTGTTATTTAGTTATTAAATAAAATATTTTAGCATGGCATTTAAGCAAATTTAATCAAATAACATTTTAAACATTTTAAACATGGATGAAAGTGGCATATTATGAAACTAGATGAAATTCTAAGCATTTTACATATATAAAATTTTTTAATCCGATGCACGGTTGTGGAGTTTATTATATGCATGATATTGAGGGGTTTTCTGTAAAACTGTAATGCACCGGATAATGCTAAAATCGCTGGACAGGAAAAAAAACATGCATGGGCCGAATCTGACTAGCCCAATAGAGGAAAGGCCAGGGGGGCTGCTCACCCTGGGCCTTGGGCAGGTTCGGTGGAGAGGCTGGGCTGCAGCTGGGGAGGCCCACGCGGGTGCGGTGCGCGCGGGACGAGCAGCTCCTCTGCTCGTCCCGAGCAGAGACATGGCGGCGGCGATGGAGGCTCGCTGAGCGCGGCTGCGCGAAGGCGGGGAGAACGCCGGGAGGCACGGGACTCGCCGGGGACGGGTGCCGGAGGCCAAGCCTCGGCCGGATCTGGCAGGAAGGAGGGCCAACAGAGAGGGACGACAACTCCGGCGGAGTTCCATGGCAGCACAGGGGGGTTGGCGACGGTGGGCGGCGGAGAGACACCGAGGGGCGACGGATCTGGGTTCCGGCGCAGCCACAGCCTTCCGGCTAGGCGACGCGGACGATGGCCGGCGGCGGGTCGACGGGGAGCTCGAGATCGAGGGTCTCCTCCCCTCGATCCAGAACGGGAAGGAGGAGGCGGGCGGTCAGGCGGGCTCGCGGCGCGACGGCGGGCTGCGGCGGTGCGGCTTCAGGCCCAGGCGGGCCCTGGATGGGCTTCGCGGTCCGCGTGGGTGGAGGAGAGACAGGGGGACGCGTGGCAGCCGCTGGTTGGGTGAGAAGTTGGCTTGCGGTGGCGCTGGCGAGTGGGACGGCGCCAAGTGGCGGGGAGAAGGTGGTCGGCGGCGGATCCGAGGAGAAGGGGCGGCGCTGGATCCGAGGAAGGGGGTCTCGGGGTAGGGGAAGAGCTAGGTTAGCCCATTTTTGGTAGGGGGGTGTGTATATATATGGAAGGGGCTAGGGTTTGAGGGGTTAGGAGGGGGGTTTCGGAGCCGTTCGATCATAATCGGACGGTCCGGAGCGGAGGGGAAGTGTAGGAGGTCTAGACGGGCTGTGATGAGAGGCCTCGGGCTGAGAGGAGAGAAGAGAAGAGAGGCCCGGCAACAGTTTCCGAATACCGAAAACGTCTGACGCTAGACCGACTATATCGCGGTTATATATTTAACGGTTGGGCAGTCAAACGAACTCCGAATGCGACGAAATTTGGCAGGCGGCCTGTCTACACTATAATAAGACCGCTCGACAAGTTTGATCCCATTCCGAGAACATTTTTATGCCGCTTATAAAATATTATTTCGGACGTGCCGCGGGCGCGTGTGAGAGTGGTCGGGCTCAGAACGGACAACGGAGAGAACCGGCGGAACCCGAACGGATGCAAGTTTTGAAAAACATGCGGATGAAATGCAGATGATGACATGAGATGAGATGCATAACAAGAACGAAAGGCAAAACAATAGATAAAATCCAACCACGAAGGAAATATCATATCGCATCTCCGGAAAAGGCAAGAGTTGGAGTTACGAATATGGAAAGTTGTATCCGGGGCGTTACAGAGGACCACCGGCTCTGGCGGCGGAGCCGGAGCGACCGACGCCGGCGCTGCATTGGCCTGGGGCGGCGGCATGGTGCGGAAAGGCGAGGGAGCTCGCAGTGCCGCCATCAGATCTACTCCGGCTTCGGAGAGGCCGACAACCCACCTCTCTTGGATGGGATTGCTGACGGCGATGACCGGAGTAGGTGGGGCATGGCGAGACGGCGGCGTGGCCATCGGAGAAACCGAACGGGCGGTGAGGTGAGAGAGAGGGAGTGGGTGTGAACTGGCGAGGGAGGTGACGGGAGAGGGCATGGGGGGTATGAGCAATCGCATCGTCTCTCGCGTGTCCCATGGCGTGCAGGCGCTCGCCACGCGTGGCTCGAGCGAGCTTGGCTCGCAAAAAACGGCCGATTCGGCCGTTTCTCCAGAGTCAGGCCCATGCCTGCTTTGAGGTTCGTGCGGGCCAAGAATTAAATGCGACCCAGGCAACCAAACGGGCCAGATTCTTCCCGCGCGAGTCTAACCCGACCTAATGCGACCAACCAAACGTGTCCTAGATCTACGACTCGAATAGAAAAAAACAATTAGCCAATCGCTCTGTGTTCATCGGATAGCAAAGATGAGCTCGAAGAGCACCTCCAGCAGATCAAAGCGAGGGACGTATGTAGAGCAACAGTGGCGAATGGATAGAGAAAGAAGGAGAAGAAAAGCAAATCCAGGGGACGAGATAAAGACAATGAGAACACTCAAGCGAACGAACTAACAAAACCCATCATAGAGAGTCACACGTGGACACAATCCCAAATATAAAGAAAGATCAAACGATGAAAGCCGGGTAAAGGGAGAGACATAGCACAATACAAAGCCAAGGCGAGGCGAGCACATAGTTTTACTAAGCGGAGCGACCGTTGTAGGCTGACCAACAAACACTCACCCCACCCTCCCCGCTAACCCAAGCCACTGGCACGGGGGCCAACAGTGGGAAGTCACCGTTGGACGACGGCTGGGTACACAAAGCATACAAACCATCTACCGGCTAGAAGGACGGAACCAACACGGATCCATGCGGACACTAGCCGGGTACAACCAACCAACCAGACGAAACGAACAATACTCCATGCGGACGCCAATTGGATAAAACCAGCTATGCAGAACGAACACGGTCCACCCAGACACTGGCCAAATAGGACCAGATGGATGGATAGGCAGGAACAAAGGTAACAGTCGGGCGCAGGCCAAAGAATGAACCTATCTTTATCTCACTAGCAAGACACTTGCTTCGCAATGTCTCCGAACGCGCTGGCCCGAAGAACCACTTGGGTGTTGGTGGTGGTTATAGCCGGGTGGGTCCCAGAAAGATGCACGAGCCGCCCGACACGATCACACATAGTCGGGCAGTCTCCACACACGAACAACCGCCACTACCCGGTGGCCCAAATATCATACAGCCACACACAAGAAAATGAAATGGCACACGCGGATCAAGGGCAACGGCCGGCAAATGGGGCGACCCTGGGTGTGCCATAGGGCCACACGCCATGGACCCCCGAGAACACCGGCTCGGTGCAGAGACCCGAGAAGATCAAACGGCCGGGAGGGCGCCAGGGAGCCAACGGCACAAGCCACGAGCGAAATGGGCGGCGCGGAGGGCACTCGGAAGTAGGGATGCCCCTAAGAGGCGGGTAGAAATAACCAAGGGAAATTGGTGAGAAAAGTCTATATTTCAACCCTGAACTAACCACGTAGTTTAATTTATGACCTATGTAAACTGTTTGTATTTTATTTGAATTATGTTTGAAAAAACATGGTAGGCCTGCTACGAGGCCGAAAAAATAGGTCTGTGCGTTGGGCGCAAGCTCGAGCCAAATGGGAAAAGAAAAATAAACGGACAACGAACAGGTGATCGGCCCAAACGGACAAAAAAGAATAAAGCGTGCCGCCATTTGGGCCGGCGCGTTGGAGTTGCTCTCATGGGTGCGACGAGTGTAGTTTGATGCTGAACGTAGTGGAGCACCACAGATACAGACGCGCACATGCAACGACAGGAGAAGATGCTCCGAATTTGTCTTTTTTGCCGAGAGCTGCTTAGATGTCAAATGATTTAAAAATTTGAGCGAACCTCGCGCATCAAAATATCTACCAAGCAAAAAAAAAAGGAAGTTTTCTAGTATTTGTTTTGATTTCTTTTTCAGCGCAGGTGCAGATCAGCCTGGGCTCAGAAGTGGATTGGGTGAGTCCCCAACTACTGTAACACCGAATGGAGAACAACCCTGTAGCAACCGTGTAAAACACCTCATGTGTGTAGCATTGTTGGTAGTTTACCTGCAATAGTCCTACACACGGGCTAACAATGAGATTTTTACGGAATGCCTTAACACTAATTAACCTCTTATCCCTGATTTTCTGCGGGTGGGGCCCTTCGTCTTCCTAACCTCAATGAAATTCTGCCACATGTGCCAGCCCTTGAACCCTGTAAAAGTTTGTCCATGAGTGTAGCATCGCTCGTTTACCTGTACCATTGCAGATTCCGCCGATGGCTGTTTAAGTTTTAACGGGATCTGTCAAACAAAGTGAGACCACCTCTGGTCAAACCCTTGGATGGCAAAGGTATTATCAAAATCGTGAACGGCACTCCAAGTTACCCTAGAAACGATTTCTCCTTTCCTCGGTGCTTCCATTTGATAACGAGAGCCCAATTTTGAAGGACTTAATTTGCCGGCAACAAGAAAAGCTAAACTTTTACTGGGACTTTACAAATACTCCTCTACACGGTTCTCTTGTTAATTGCTCCAACTTGCGGTCTCTGTATATTCGTCCCTCGTTTGTTATCACTCTCCTCCTCCGGGCCGTAGTATTTTTTGTCGTCAGAGGATGCAGCTAGCCATGGCTGCCCAAGAAGAGCAGCAGCCGCCGCTGCACATCCTCTTCTTCCCGTTCCTAGCCCCCGGCCACCTCATTCCAATAGCCGACATGGCCGCGCTCTTCGCCGCCCGTGGCGTCAGGTGCACCATCCTCACCACGCCCGTCAACGCAGCCATCATCCGCTCGGCCGTCGACCGTGCCAATGACGCTTTCGCTGGCCCGGCCATTGATATCTCCGTCGTGCCGTTTCCTGACGTCGGGCTCCCGCCGGGCGTCGAGAACGGCATGGCCCTTACATCCCAGGGAGACCGCGACAAGTTCGCTCAAGCGGTGCAGCTGCTCCGCGAGCCCTTCGAACACTTCTTGGCTCACAACCACCCCGATGCGGTCGTGACCGGCAGCTACTTCCACTGGTCCGTCACGCTGCCGCGGAGCACGGTGTCCCACGCCTCACCTTCCTCAGTAGCAGCATGTTCGCGCGGTCCTGCAGCGAGACCATGTTGCGCAACAACCCATTGGCGACTGCCCCCGACGATCCCGACGCGCTCGTTTCCCTGCCGGGGCTGCCGCACCGTGTCGAGCTGAGGCGGAGCCAAATGATGGACCCCGTGAAGCAGGCGGACCACTGGGCATTCTTCCAGAGCGTGAACGCCGCTGACCAGAGGAGCTTCGGCGAGGTTTTTAATAGCTTCCATGAGCTGGAGCCGGACTACGTCGAGCACTACCACACGACCCTTGGCCGGCGCGCGTGGCTCGTCGGGCCGGTAGCACTCGCCAGCCAGGACATCGCTAGGAGAGGCACCGACGCGCTCTCACCGGACTCGGACAACTGCCTTGGGTGGCTGAACACGAAGCCCGCCGGCTCGGTGGTGTACGTCTCCTTCGGCACGCTGATCAGGTTCTCGCCGGCGGAGCTGCACCAGCTCGCCCGCGGCCTCGAACTCTCAGGCATAAATTTCATGTGGGTGACCGGCGCCGCAGGCCCAGACCCTTCAGAGTGGATGCCTGAAGGCTTCGCCGAGCTGATGGCACGCGGCGACCGTGGGTTCATCATCCGAGGCTGGGCGCCACAGCTGCTCATCCTGAACCACCCTGCCGTTGGTGGGTTCGTGACGCACTGTGGTTGGAACTCGACACTTGAGGCCGTGAGCGCCGGTGTGCCGATGGTCACGTGGCCGCGGTATACAGATCAGTTCAGCAACGAGAAGCTTATTGTGGAAGTGCTCAAGGTGGGCGTCAGCATCGGCGCCAAGGAGTACGCATCGTTCGTGGAGACTCACGAGGTGATCGGCGGTGAAGTAATCGCTGAATCCATCGGAAGATTGATGAGCAACAACGAGGAGGGCAGCGCCATAAGAAAGAAGGCCAAGGACCTCGGTGTGAAGGCAAGGACCGCGGTGGAGAGTGGTGGGTCTTCGTACAATGATGTTGGTCAGTTGATGGACGAGTTGACGGCCCGCCGGAGTTCCGTGAAGGTTGGAGAAATGTAAAAAGAAAAAGAAAAAAAAAACTTGGGTTGGCATATCTAACGAACGTTCGCCACAAGAGATGGCATTTGTGAACGTCCATCTGGCAGTTTTAGTGCATTTGAAGTACCTGGGTGGCCTTTTTTAAACTGCCATGCCATTTCTTTAATTTCCAGTGTAGAAAAGCCATCGAAACTACACCCTAGGATCAAGATCGTGTGGCAGTTAGGGCGTTCGCTGACAGTTTTTCCCTAGCGAACGTTCGCCAGTTACTATTTCGAAAAGGTTTAACTAGCCCCTTTGATATGGCGAGCACTAGGCGCCAGTCGACCGACCAAAATTTCGGTCAGACGCCGTGCAGCCGTGCGATTGGAGGCCCCCGCATCATTGGATCTCCCCTGCTCCTTTCCTCCTCTCACAACTCACCCAGCACCCACCCCCACCCCCCCTGCATCTCGCACACGACGTCGTCTGCTGCTAGCCTTGCGGGCTCCTGCGCGCTCGTCGTCCCCGTTCCCTTTGTCAGCCTGCTTGTGCTCGCCGTAGTCGTCGGATGGACTTGCAGCTAGCCGTGGTCCACCTCTGGTTGCAACGACCCCAGATGGGGTTCCAGCAGTGCTACGAGCCGCCGTCATATCGCGCCGTGCGCCCATCATAGCACCCCCGTGTGTTGACAAAAAGTAGCTCCTATCGTTGCCACTCGCCATTGTCAGCTCACCGTTCTCTCCTTGAAACTTTTTCAGAAGCGGGTTGAAGCTTTCTCGTTGTCCATTGCATCTTTTCTCTGATTTCCGTCGCCGGTCACCACGAAAAAGAATGTGGTTACAAATTATGTCACCGTAATAGCAAAAAATGACGGCGGTTGCAACAAAAAATGTGGACGCCGTCGTGGCATGTCCAGCATCAGCATCAAAGATGTAGAAAATGTCGACGGTGGTAGTAGCAACAATTTACTACAGCTGCAGCAAAAACCGTCTGGTCGTAGAACCAACGCAGCTAGCTCGCGCGCTATAGGTTGCAGCTCACTTTGCTGCAGGTTGTAGCAAATCGCAATGATGGTTGTAGCAACTTCACATGTATATGGAGCGGAGAGGAAGGGTCAACCTGGAGGACACCCTCATAGCAGCACCTGGGGGAGGTTGTAGCAAATTGCAATGATGGTTGTAGCAGTTTCAGAGAGGGAGGGCCAAGCTGGAGAACGCCCCTCATAGCAGCACATGGGGTAGGCATGGAGTTGTGCTCTCGATGGGGAAGAAAAGAAGGAAGAACGAGTGGAGGAGAGAGCTGCATAAGAAAGATAAGAGAAAAATACGCCGTACAGTGTGTGGGCCAGTGGTCGTTCGATCCAGCTAGATCGCGTGGCCCGCACGCGACCGGCGGAAGACTCCATCGGTGCGCCAGGTGTAAAGTTTCCCCTTTGATATTGTATGGAGGCATCGTCATTAAGGATCAGAGGGAGTAGAACACTTCCTCTCTCGTAACATCACGATGACATGCACGGTCATACAAAACTCATTGGAGTTACATTTGTTGGGGAACGCAACATGCAATTTCAAAACAAAATCCTATGCTAACGCAAGATCTATCTAGGAGATGCATAACAACGAGAAGGGGAGAGTGTGTCTATGTACCCTCGTAGACCGAAAGCGGAAGCGTTTGACAACGCGGTTAATTTAGTCAAACTTCTTCTCGTTCCGATCGATCAAATACCAAACGTACGACACCTCTGAGTTCTGCACACGTTCAGCTCGATGACGTCCCTCGAACTCTTGATCCAGCAAAGTGTTGAGGAAGTAGATGAGTTCCGTCAACATGACGGCGTGGTGACGGTGATGGTGAAGTGATCTGCGCAGGGCTTCGCCTAAGCACTACGGAGATATGACCAAGGGTGTAATCTGTGGAGGGGGGCGCCGCACACGGCTAACAATTGTTGGTGTGTGTTCTAGGCGCCCCCTCCCCACGTATATATAGGTGGGAGGGGGAGGGGAGCAGCCTTGGGGCACCCCAAGTAGGAGGAATCCTACTTGGGGGCCTCGTCCAATTCCCTCCCCCCTTATCATATTTTCAGGAGGTGGAAGGAAGGAGGAGAGAGGATGGAAGGAAGGTGGAGGCCGAATCCCTCCCCTTCCTTCTCTCTTCTCCTCTTTCCTTCCTCTTCTGTTTCGGTCCATATGAGGGGCGCAACAGCCCCTACCGCCTGCTGCGTTTCCCCTCTTGGCCCATTAGGCCCATAGCTTTGCCGGG